TGTGCCATTGTGACCACGGCATTCGACCTCGATGACGATCTGCAGCCGCATTTCGTCAAAGGCTACAAGTCCGATCTGACTTACTCTACGCTTTATGCAGAGCTTTCATCGGATCACCCGCCGGCTAGCCACTATCGGATTTTCGACGGGTTCCTTCTCCTTCACACGAGAGGAAAGGACTTGTTAGTTGTGCCCCAAGACCGCATTTTACGGACTCGTCTTCTCGGTGAATTCCACGACGCACGACTTTCGGCACACCTTGGCGTGAACCGCACATTAGCACGCCTCCGCCAGCGTTTTCACTGGACCGACGTCCTTCATGATGTCACGAGGTACGTTGAGTCATGTGCAGTTTGCCACCGTAACAAGGGTCGATCTCGAGTCCCCTTCGGCGAACTGAAACCATTGCCGATTCCTCGGGCACTGCGCCTCTCCATTGCTATGGACGTGACAGGCCCGTTCCCCCGCGATCGCCACGGCCATGACGGTATTCTCACGGTCGTTAACCGTTGGAGCAAGTACGCTCGCTTTCTTCCTTGCAAGTATCATGCTGCAGCGCCKGAGCTCGCACGACTCTTGCACACCGGTTGGATTGCAAACCAGGGTGTTCCGGAAGACATAGTGAGCGACCGAGATACTCGCTTCATGTCGACCTTTTGGACTTCCCTCATGGCTGAGTCCGGTACGACAATGAAGCCGAGCTCGGCTCGGCACCCGCAGACGGATGGCCAGACGGAGTGAGCGCACCAGACAGCTCAGATGATGTTGCGTACGCTCATCCGTCCCGACCAGAAAGATTGGGTTGACCGGCTTCCTGACATCGAGTTCGCCTATAACACTTCGGTGCACCCGGCGATCTGCGTCACACCATTTGAGCTACATCATGGTGGAGACAAAGCACGGATCTTCGCTGATCTCCTTTTGCTACAGGCTGCCGACAAAGACGTCCCTTGCTCTCCCGCTTTCGTTCAGAAGTACCGGGACTTGCTGATCAAAGCCCGCGCAAATATGCAAAAGGCTCAGATCCGCATGCAGCAGCAGGCTAACCGACGTCGACTTCCATGTCCTTTCCGCGAGGGAGACCTTGTTTGGGTCCTCTCCGAGGAATTTGCGCTCGAGCAGGACGTTTCTCGCAAACTCCTTCCGAAATGGTTCGGACCATGGGAAGTCACTTCTGCCGTTGGAGACGACCCCGCAGGTCCTTCCTTCGTGATCAACATTCCACCGCACCTTACAGTGCATCGAGTCTTCCACGCATCGAAGCTGGCCATCTACACGCGCCACCTTCAGCTGACGAGTTTCCCGGACGTCGATCACAGGATCCGCCTTCTATGGACGAACATCAGGAAGTTGACCGTGTCATCACGCACCGCAAGTATGGCAACAAGCCAACGCAGTACAAAGTCACATTCAAGCAATGTGCGCCCGACGACACTCAGTGGATCTCTAGTGCAGACTTACAGACTTCTGCACCCCTTATCTTCGCCAACTATGAGAAGACACGACTTGTCAAGGCAGCAGCTCGTCCCACCCGACCCATCCCGGTATCGGACAGACAACTCCGCCCTCGCAAGTAGCTCGGTCTTTTAAGAGGGGGAGTGTGTTACATCTTCGACGCCACACGGGTCCTACCGGACCCGACTTAGGGTTAGAGGGACACAGTAGGGCCTAAAGGCCCGACCTTGGGGGTACTACAGGCCGTAAAGGCCTTACCTTGGACCAGACCCGACGGGCAGGCCCAAACGACATTACCGTTTGGGCCTGGCGGCGCTCTTGAGGCTGCCGCCCGCTGGTTGGGGCTGAACCGTCCATCTTGACGGTTCAGGGCACGGCCAGGCCTTGCAGCATTGAGGCCGGCCTCTGCCCCACCGATACAAAAGTACTGGTCCAGCCTCATTGAGGCTATCGACCCACCGGCACTCTAACGGTGCGGTATGGTACGGCGCGAATCAGCGCTGGCGCTATGTTTAGCGCAGGAG